TCTCAGGAGATGTTATTGGCCTGTGTTATATGCTTTTTGGGGTGCTACCCTTTGAAAACCATTCTTCTAGGATTCATTTGACATCTCCAAGTTCTGTCTATAGCCTCAAACGTCATCATGTCTATCCCCTGCCCCACTCTCTGGATATCCTCAGTCAGTCACCTGGCCTTTGGGTTGACTTCCTTTCTTAGCTTTCAGAAGGCAGCTTTGGTCTCACTGTCTGTCCTGCTGGCCCTGGAGGCAGGGACCAGCTCTTAGGGTTTCAGTCCTGGGAAGAGCAACCAGCATCCCTGACACCTCCCTCTCATTCCTGGACTCCACTAGGCACCATAGCTCTCTTATTCTTCCTGCTGCCCCTCACCTCCTGGATTTGCTTGAGTCTCAATGTTGGGCCAGGCTGGAAAGAGCACCTGATAGTCTGCAGTTATGTGCCTTAGTTAGGGTCCATGCAAGGCCAAGCTTAGAGGGGTCACTGTTGCACTTCTGCCAGTGGCACAATCTCTCAGGTGGTAATTCTCTTTTTATCTCACACCTTGCACCTCATAGCTATTTCCAAAAATATTGCTGACTGACTAAAAGTTTAGGAGGAAAAAAAAACAAGGGGGAGGGGAAAAAGCAAAATGCAGACATTCCTTAAAACTGCCATGGACTAGCACAAGGTTTCTATCAGTGTTTGCCAGCTTGGTGCGAAGAAGTCTTCTCTTTGACTTTTTTTTTTTTCCCCCTACAGTACTGCAGATTGAACCCAGGGGTGTTTTACCACTGAGCTACATCCACAGCCCTTTTTATTTTGAGACAGGCTCTCACTAAGTTGCTGAGACTGGCATCAAACTTGTGACCCTCCTGCCTCAGCCACCCGAGTTGCTGGGGTTTCAGGTATACGCCACCATACCTACCTTTCTCTTTGACCTTTTGAGGGCAAGGAGATGTGTCGGAAGTTCCTGGGTGGGCATCCTGAAGCTCAGGACTGTGGGTGGGGGCAAGCAAAGTCAATGGGACCCAATTTAAGGAGGCCCTGAGACTGTCTGCAAAAGCTGGAGACCCTTGAAAAAAAGGGGTAGGTGGTTTGAGGGGGGGGTCTGTGGTGAATGGAGACCTTGGAAAGTCATCCTTTGTTCTTTGTTGCTTTTCTCCAGAAAAGCAAGTTTCTTTAGGAATTTAACATAACACTTAAGAGGCTTGGAAAATGTGAAATGTGAATAGTCATGGATTTTGAAATTTAGACTAGGATGTCAATCTTCAATTTAAATGAAAATAAACTATGTGAAAACCATCAGATTTTAATATTTTTCTTCTTTATTGGAATAGATTTGAGACTATTCCAATAGGGAATGGGTAAATTGGTTGTAAGTTTCTAATGTGGTTATTGGCATGATCCTTGTACATTGGAATCATCAGGTGGGTTTGAAACAAACAAACAAAAAAAACCCCACAATACTTTTAAAGCCTCCTAGGTAATTTTGAAGTTCACCTAGGATCCTTGAGCTATTGATTGGTTGAAGGTAAAAATCAGACTTTGAGGGGTATCTTCTTGGCTTCTAACAAGTGTTAGAAGAAGAAATGTTCTCTTCCCACAGGAATGGACCATCAGAAGTGACCTTGGGATGTTCTCCTTCAACAAAGAGTTCCAGTTGACAGACCAGGGGTGGACCTTCAGGATAGTGCCTAATCTGACTGGATCAATCAACTTTTCTCACACAGGAAGATGGAACTGGAACTCAGACATGATGGCCATAACTTAGGATCATGCACCGAACACAGAGGAGAGAACTGGCAGAGTAGCAAGAAAAGTCCATTCTTGTGATAATTCCAGCCTTGTGCCAGTTGAGCCCTTCAGGAAATACAGCTACCACCCTGCCTGGGCCTCCCTGGAATCACCCATAAATCCTCTAACAACCCCCTCCCCCAGTTTGGCTTAAGCCAGCTCTAGTAGATTTATGCTACTGTGACAAAAGAGGCCTGGCACAATGGCAGTATGTGAAAACAAAACATGCATTCACCTCCTCAGGCACAGGTACTTTGTGAGGGTGTTTGAACTAGGCTCTTTGTAACTCCATGTGGTCCTGTGGAGATTCATGAGAATCTGTATTTCCTGGAATCCACTTGGAGAAACTGCAGTTTTTAATTCAATTGTGATTTCCCTCCCTCCCTCCTTTCCTTCCATCTTCCTTTCTTTCCTTCCTTTCTTCCTTCCTTCCCTCCTTCCTTCACTTTCCTTTTCCTTCCTTCCTTTTATTGTATCATATCCCAGCCCTTTTTATTTTTTTATTTTGAGACAAGAGTCTAAGTTGTTGAGGCTAGCCTCAAACTTGCTGAGGTTCCAGCCTCAGCCTCCTGAGTCATTGTGATGTATCACAGTGTCTGGCTAGTTTTTAAGATTAAATTCTTTAATTTCTTGCCTAGATGGAAGTGATATTGCTATCAACCTAGGGAATCTGGGAGGTCGGTTTTGAAGGCATTTTGTCTAGGAGGTGGATAGGTATCTTAGTCTGTGGATATACAAAACACTCCAGTGAAATTCAGGCTTATTGGAACCTACAGAACACACATTCAGGCCTAATGGGCCCTTCCAGATTGGCTGCTTGAATTGGTGAAACGAACCAGATCCTATTCTTTGCCTTCTGAGCTCTGTAGACACAAGGAAAAGGGGGGGGGAGTGTGTGTGTGTGTATGTGTGTGCATGTCTGTATGTGTAAGAAGCAGCAAATGTACCTTTTATTTTAGAAACAAAAATATCATTTCTGACCCAACAATAGCCGGATCCCTGTGAATGAAGGGTTTGCATATTTTCCTGTTTTAACGGTTCTAGTATAAACAGCCCAAGCCCAGACCTGACTGTCAGGAGGTCCTGAGCAGCCCAACCAGAATGCTGGAAATGACTCTGTGAGCCCTGAGAATTTAGACCCGGCTTAGTGCCAGGAATTGGGTTTGTGTTTAACAGTAGCAATGGGGTCAGGAGTTGAGGGAGAGGGCAATTGCAGTGATCCCCAAGACCATAGTTAACATCAGAAGCAACAGCAATAGCCACTGCAGAGGCAGGAGGAGAAGTAATTACCATGCACTGAAATTTTCTTTGTACAGGAACCAGGCTAAATGTGTGATTATTTATATAAATACTTACAAAAGCTTGATGTGGTAGGCATTATTATTCCAATTTGTAGAATGAGGTTCAGAGGTTGAACAGCTTTTCTGAGGTCACATGACTTCTAAGAGGGAGGTCTAGGATCAAATGAAGGCATGTTTGACTCCTAACACTACACTAAGAAACCCAGGTCACAAACACTAGTTTTTCAGCGGGTGTACAGTGCTTTGGTCCTAGAGGCTGCTAGGGCAATTCTTGAGATGCACTGCTGGTGGGTCCTTTTTTTTTTTTTTTCCCATGACCTCCCTCTACCACCCCATCTCCCTGGTGTCCAGTAGAGGGAGACAGTTGACAGCAGGGGCTAGAAGGCTCTCTTCCAGTCCAAGGCAATTCTAAATTTGGGGTGAATTCTTCATGTCCTGAGAATGGCACTTTGGTAAGCTAGCAAAAAATTCAACATTTATTGATCAACTACTGATTACATATTTAATGATGTAGGGAGTGTGGTTAGGGAGAATTTCTTGGGCTTAAAACAAACAGAATTGGTGCTGGCATCTACAAAAAGCTTATTGTTCATTCATATAATGGATCAAGCAGTCATTGAAAAAAATCATTTCTCAAAGACAAAGATATGGAGAAACTCTTGTAGTGAAAGGTAAGAGACAAGCAGGACACAAAACTGTAAATTCTATGTGAAAATATAGTCTGTTATTATGAAGATTAGACTTATTTTTATTAAACTATATAAATAAAAGACTGAAGGAAAGTCACTAAAAAATTACCTGTGATTACTTTGTGAGGAAGGGGTGAAGTTATTGTAATTTTTACATACTTTGTGAATCTTAGCGCTTTACTTTCCCAACTTTCTTCAATTTGAGTTATCTCTGTAAGTGGAAGAAAACGTGAAAAATCCTAATACACAGGTATGATTGTTGATTAAGTTTTACCCCAGGATGAAGGATAGGGGTGTGGCTGAGTGATAGAGCGCTTGCTTAGCATATGTGAGGGTTTAGTCCCCACTAGCGCCAAGATAAAGAAGCAAAAGAAAAGTTGTCTCTCAGGATGGATTTGAGCAGGTGGAATTCTCCGCCTCACTGCCTAAGACTTATTTCCAGAGCGAGGATGGGGGCGACCCCGAAGGAGCCCCTGCGCAGTGCGGGTAGAGAGCCGGCCCTCTCCAGGCGTTCAGCCGCTCCCCATTTGCCGGAAAGACAAGGGCGATTCGAGAACCCGGCAGCCAAGCTCAAAGGCGATCCTCAAGTTCAGATGCAGGTCCTCCGCACAGTGGGGCAGGTTCTTTGGAGCGCAGACTGGACCCTTGGTCACCAATCAATGCTATGGTGAATGAGATTAAGGAATAAAGAGGCCGGAGCATAACTTGGGCCTCTTCCCAGAGTCCCCAGAGTTCGCCGGTGGCCTGCGGCAAAGGGCCCAGCGGGCGCCTGCGGGTTGCGGCTACCCACGCCCCGCCCCTCACCTCCCTGAGGGCTGAGGGCCCGGGATCCCGGCGGAAGCTGCCAAGTAGCGGAATTACTGGTGCAGAGCTCCGCCTCCCTTTGAAGCCCTCTAACCTGTACACCTGGGTTGTCCCTTGCTGGCGGAGAGCTAAAATTGGGAATTGAGAAATTACACGCTAGGGTCTCGGCAGGGGCTGAAGGTGCGGCAGCCACTCTGGGGATCCAGCCGGAGCGGGTGGCCTTGCTGGGAGCTAGCTCTTCTACTGGCTGAAGCTCCTGGTTCGCTGAGGGAGGCGGCGGTGATGTCGCCTGGTGCCAGCAGAGGGCAGCCTCGAGGCTGGGAGGCGACCTTGCCAAACCGCCGACTCCCTTCCAGCACCCAGACTATGCGGGATGGGGGCGGCCTTGGAGCCCAGAGAACTGCAACATCAGTGAGGCAGAGCTGGGAATTAGGCCCAAGGGCACCCTGTGACATGTGATCAAGCTCCAGCCCTCGGGCAACCTCACCCAGACTGTAGAGGGCTTGCAGGGGCAGGGGAGAACAAATGCTTCAGGAGGGAAAGAAAGAAGCAAACCCAACGCTTACAGGGAATTTGTTTTTCAGGAATAGAGTTCAAGCTTGCAGAAACCTTTTTAAATGAGGCTTGTGAGAGCTAGGATAGTTTTTGCATCTTTGGCTCAGGAAGTCAGATGCAGGAGTGGAATGACTTAAAGGCACGCGCAGGAATCATGGAGCAAGCACCTATCCGAGGGATCGCGGGCTAGGGATACAGGGACACCTAACTGGCCACTTTCTGGCTTTACTTGGGTGACTCATGTACTGCTCTAGACTCCGACTAATCAATTCTGTGAAATGGGCATGGTGGGCTTCCGATTGTTGGTGATTGAGACAGAAGAAGTTCAATAGAAATCAAGTTGTCACAGCTCCAGCTCTGAGTTTGTATCTGGGGTGAAAGATTTCTTTCTCCTCGTGTTTACCTGACTTGGCTGCCTTGGAAACCTAGGCCCGCCAGATTTGGAGATTTAGTTGCACGTTGCCCTCAAACCAGCTCCGAACTTCCCGGCTCGGGACTGACGCTTGGGTCACCCGGCTCACAAGGAGCGCGCAAGTACGCAAGTGAATTGAAACCCCCGCACCTGGCTCAATGGGTCTTCCCCGGGGAAGTCTGGCGGAAGAGCCAGAGGGCTTACCCACCTGGGGTCTCTTGAAACACTAAAGAGACCCGTGTTCAACAACCAGCATCCCGGGATCTATGGCTTATTTCTCAGACGTGTCAACCGGCACCCCTTAACTTCTCTTCGTTTGTTTCCCTATCTGTAAAATTTGAAAGGAGAGCGTTTGCCTAGACAGTTGTGAAAATTGTATTTGAAAACAATAAAGGCCCGTGTAATGTGAGGCATAATTAAGACCCAGGGACAGTCAGCCCTAGTAGGACCTGTGCACTAATAACAGAATAGATACTAGAATAATTTATAAACGTGTGCACATTCACATCCGCGCGTGCAAATGTGGGTGCCTGTCTCCATAAGCGTGATAGATGCACACAAAAGTACGCATGTACTTTCACACAGATACAGGACGTCCTTCTGCAGGCGCGTGCATGCACACCGTAATCCGCACGCGAACGTCGCTGTCTGCGCCTGGAGGCAGAGGGCGGACGTTGCTCTGCCGACCCGTTTCTCCCGAGCTGGGTCAGTGGTTCCCGGGGAAGTAAGGTCCCGGGTGCCGCTCTAGGGTGCGGAAAAGGCCGGATCCGGGTCTGTAGGTCATCGCCGCGGCGCCGCCGGGTTTCTTTATCTCTCATCTGCCGGCGGTGGGCAGCTCCAGTTTCAGTGGGGAGCGAGACCCCAGAGCCAGCTGGTGGGGGCAGGGAGCAAGAAAAGGAGGTGGTGGAGGGCGCTGCGGGCGCGTGGGGCTGCAGGGCCTCACTTCTTGATCTATCACCCTTTCTTTGCCCCTCCTTATCGAACCCCTACAGAAGAAAAAAGGAGGGTCCCTGAGTCATTCCACTTGGGAAAGGTGACCCAGGCCCTTTACACCATAAGTCATCGTGAAGGAAGGCGAATGGGCTTGGGAGAATATGAGAGTCCAGAGCTTTTGGGCTGCAGCGCTGGCCGGAGCCCCAGAGCACTACAAGGTGTGCATGGGCAGCGCTCCACACCAGCTGGTCGCCGGGCTCATTGCTCTTTTCTTCCAAGGGATTCAGAGCTGCGCCCACTGGCCTCCTCCAGGTGCCTCGGCGGTACCCTGGGAAGCTGAAGGCCTATAGGCAACGCTGCAGAGGCTCAAGTTCCGCTGCGACCTGCGTTTCTAAATCAAAGAAAGTGATTGCGCAGGGTCACAAAAGCTGCCCTGTTTTCTGGGCAGACCCCTTTAGTAGAAAGAAGGATGTTGCGCAGGAAATTTGAGGCCCAGCGCTGGAGGAGTTTCTGTGCCGCAACAAAGCACAGGGGCGCAGCTGGGATAGACACCGCACGGGTTCGGATCCTGCGGGGCCAACCGAGCCCAGCGGTTCCAAACGCCACAGTCGCGGCAAAGGATTAGCATGATTCCACTTATGGGGATACGGTCAGGCCGGGAGCCCGGTTCCTCACTCCTCCCGGAGCCATTAGGAAAACAAAACGCTGGTGGGAGTGGAGTCCAAAAAATTTAGTGGCAGAAGACTTTGAGGGCCATCGCGGCTCTGTGCCGCATTTCAGCTTGGAGATGGGGGCAAGCCGTGGCCTTGCAACCCCTGTTTCGCGGAACCGCGAGGCCAGCGGGTTAGAAACTTCCCTATCCGAGGTTGAAAGGGGCCAGCGGGACTGCCCGTTCCCTTCTCCCTCGGGACTCTACAGGGCTCTGACCCGGCCTTTATCTCGGAATGGTCAGCAGTCGCGGGGGCTTCAGGAAAGAGGACAAAGGCCCGGTGTCACTGCGGGCGGGGGCTTGGTTTCCTGGCTCGCTGCTCACACTCCCAGCCTTTAGCGGTTGTTAGGGGGAGATTTTTTAAAAATATGTGTCGAATTTCCTTTTTTTCTCTCCTAGAAACAAACAAACAAAAAGAAAAGCAAATGGTATATTCCCCTTCCCTCCTCGTTCATAGAGACTCAAGTTTCCTGGGATCCTATTCTTTTCTTTTGTTTGCCTGCCTAGACAAGTACTTTTCCCTTTACTTAGAGGAAAATCCAAGGAAAGGGTTTGTTTTATTCGGTTCGATAGGATTATTACTAAGGACAATCGGGCAGGCTAAGGTCCCAATTTGGAGAACGAGAGTTGACTTCCCTGCGTGGCCTGGGCTTCGATGGCTACTGCCCTGGGCTTTTGATACCTCGGAGCGTGATCTGGGTCGGCGGTGCTGACCACCCTGAGCTCAGGCCCGCCAAATTATTTCACCCCTTTAATATTGTTTAGAGCTGGCAGGAGGGACTCTGCCCTGCCCGAGCCGGAGGATCAGTTTGCAGCGCCGCCAACAGGCCCGCGGGCATGAGGCGCTGGCGGCCCAGACCCAGGTCTTCCCAGGCAGCTGTCCCTACACTGCCCCTGCTCCCCACCCGCGGGCGGCGCCTTTGCCGGCTGCAGCTTGGCCCAACCCGCTTCCTGCGTTTGCCCCTCGGGTTTTCCGTTCCTCTACAAAGGCCCAGGGAGCCTCGCCCACAGGCTGACCCCCACAACCTCCCTTTGGAGTGGCTACCTTCTGCTTTTCTGAAAAAAGGGAAAAGAAAAATCCAAGCAGCCCGGCGTCCCGGAGGGAGGCGATTGAAGGCCAGAAAGCCCTGGAGTGGCGGCCGCCGCTAGTCCCAAGCGCGCTTGGGTCGGTGGAGCCTTTCTCA